AGACAGGGTAGATTACAATCAATCTCCTCTCTCTTTCTCGATATCTTTGTTTTTTTTTTTCTCTCAGCCTTACCCTCTCCTTTTGTGTTTCTGCTCTCTCCTTTCTTTTCTCTTTTGCCTTTGTTTTCTTTTTTAATAATAATACTTTATTGCCTTATTTTCCTGGTAGTGGAGTCTACATGCTCGATCATAGTAATTTGAAAAAACAAATCAGTTTGTTGTAGGTTTAAAAGTCTTTATTAGAAAAGGCCTCCATTCCAGAACAACCTAATCCTTGAAACATGCATTTAGTTCCACCATTTGTGAAAGTCATCATGAGATTTGGTAATCTATTTCAATTGGTCCAAGAGTTGCAAGTCATTGAACCCCTAAAACCATTTGGTAAGCAGCAACTGGTAATACATAAAAATCAGTGGTGATAACATGAACTTGGATGAATATTGAAAGAGTGAGATACCATCCTCCACAAATAATCTTCTCAAGATTAGTCACCATCATTTGAAACTTCTTATCTCAAATTTCTTGTAGCCCGAATTGAGAGACAATGGATTGGTCGATGAAATTATAGGTGCTTCCTCCATCTATCAAAACTATGACATCCTTGTTCTTTAGTTTTCTAAGCACTCGAATGGTTTGTGGGTGCTTAGTCCCAGCGATGGTGTGAAATGATATTTCTGAAAAAAATTCCGTAAGTTCAGTTTCGAATTTGTAATCATCACTGGCATCGGTTTCACCTGATGTTAAATCTTTAATCATAAATAGTTGTGGTCTCTAATAAGGATGCCCGATATGAACTTTTCATCATAATAGAAACAAAGGCCCTTCTTATGTTTTTCATAAGCTTCCTAATTTGTAATTGTTCTAAATAAGGTTGGAGTGTGTATGGTGGTGCTGATGGATTTGAAGGCTGATGACGGACCTAATACACCGCTGTTTGTTATTGGTGGGTGAGAAATTATAGATGATCAAATAAAAATATTACCTTTTCTTTACAGGAGATTTCATTCCTTTACCAGTCGAGCAACTCCAATTGTGTCTTCTAGAGTCTTCGACTGCTTAATTTTGACATCCAAACGGATATCATTGTGAAGTCTTCTAATGAAACATCCAACTAAAAGTGGCTCTAGTAATCCATCTACACGATGTGATAGCCTTTCAAAAGCTTTTTGGTAAGCCGTTACTATTGTAATATGTTTGTAACGAGTTAGTGCTTCGGAGGGATCCTTATACTCAGTCGATCCAAAATGTTGGAGGAGTGCTGATGTGAATTCAACTCAGATGAGTATCTCCTTGTACTCAGAAAGCCAATGGTGCCACTACAATGCAAATCTTTCAAGGTGGAATGAAGCAAGTTGCACTCATCGATTACTCGCAATATTCTGAAATTTAAAGTATTGCTCCGCCTTATAGACCCATCCTATTAGATCCTAACCACCAAATTTTAGAAATGAAAGTTTAAGTTGATGGTGATTTCTGTCATAGCCAGTACTTACAAAGAAATACACAGATGGTGGTGGGCGACTCTTTTAGGAGGTTTCTCCCTTGGTTAAAAAATTGATATCTTGGATGATTGGTTGTTGATTGGAACTGTGTCTTAACGACAAAGTCTGTAATTCACTGATGGTGTTTTAGAGGTTTTTAAAAGTGGCGGTGACTTGATTCATATTGTTGTTAAGGTGATCGAATTGAGACTCGTGTTGGGTTTTAAGAAGATCGAATTGAGACTTATGCTGAGCCAAGGCTTTGGTGACCTCATTGCGAAACTTAATATTACTTTTGTTCCTAGTCTTCATGGAAATGAGTGGCTTTGATACCAATTGATAAGAGTAATTTTAAAAAAGAAGAAGAACAGGAAGAATGAGAAGTAAAGAAGAAATGTTTGTATAAATAATTTCATATCCTCCCATTACAATTCAGTTAACTATTTATAGCCAAACCATTGAATGAGTAAAACAGCTGATACAACAAAATATAAATAACAAATAGAAATGATAGATGCATGATTCCCACACACATTCTACATAACAATGAAAAATAGGGCATTAAACCTACTATTTATTTGCACAACTTAAACAATGATTAATTGTGACATGTCAGCCATATAATCCATTTATTCTACCCATTTAATTACTCAGACCTGCTTAGTACGTGGGTGTATAATGATGGTGGTATGATGCACATATCATAAAGTTTTTCAAAGCATAAGAACTAATAGATAATAAATGATTAGTACTTAAAATTGTATTTTTATCAAGATTTTATATCATCATTTTTCACTTGAAGTATCAATAACTCCTTAACTAAAGCATGTTTTATACTAACATATCTAATAATATAAGATACATTTAATTTATGGAAAATATTCATTTTAAATGCAGGCCTATCACATAAATAAAAGGATTGATTGATGAGTTTAAAAATTTAAATTAAAAGGACAAAAAGATGGCTACATTTAGAAAAGAGATGTCGGTGCAGTCCAAACCGGAACACTGTTCGGTAATTGGGTCATATCTGGAGCT